GGCGGCGGCGGCGGCGGCGGCGGCGACCGGGGCGGCTCCCACACGCGCTGCGCCCGCCGCTGTCCCCCGCGCGGCCCATGTCCTCCGCGCCGCTGCGCTCGCCCACCCTGCGGCCCCACAGGATGAAGAAGGACGAGTCGTTCCTGGGCAAGCTCGGCGGCACGCTGGCGAGGAAGAAGAAGAACAAGGAGGGTGAGTGCGCCGGCCGCCGGCCCGCAGCCGCGCAGGCGTCCCCGAGCCCCGCCGGGGCCACGCGTCCCCGCGCGCAGGCGTCCCCGCGCTCCGTTGGGGTGGCTCCCCGCCCCGCGCCGGCTGCCCCCGCCGGGCCCCGCGCGCGCGTCCCCGAGCTCTGCCGGGACCGCGCGTCCCCCGCCGGGCCTCGCCGGGGTGGCTCCCCGGCCCGCGCGCTCCGGGCCCTCCCCGCCCCCGACAGACCCCGCGGGCCCGCGTGGCGCGCCGCCGTGACCTTCGGGAGCGCCCTTGACCCTCGCTCCTTCCTGCTGCCGAGACCTTTAAACACTGGCGGGGAACGTTCCCTCCCGGGCCCGGCCGCCCCCGCCCCGGCCGTTTGCAGATGGCCGCTGGTGCGGAAGGCGGACTTGGAGCGAGAGCCCGGGACCCCCCAGCACGTGGAGAGCGGCCCCGCGCCCAGGCTGGCTGGAGTCGCCCTTCGCTTGGCACCGCTCCGGAGCAGCCCCGCCTGCAGGCCGACGTCTAGCCGTGCGTGTGACCCTCCATGCGCAGAGCATTTACTGGTCACTTAGTGCCGGCTGGGCACGGGCCAGGGGCCCAGTCAGTGTTTTTGGTGCGGGAACCCCCGCAGGGGACGCGGCCCTCGCCCTGGAGCCGGGAGGAAGGAAAGGGGCGCGGCGCATGCAGGCCACCCGCCGGGGTGGGGGTGCCGCGACCGAGGGCTACAGAGCTCCCCTCCCCCTTTTGCGCTTACGAAAATTACTCTAAAAAACTACCCGCGTCCTCTTACAGTTGAAAGTTTTTTCAGAGTTGCAAGGGCGGGAACCTCTGCGGGCCTGTGTGTGCTTTAAATACACCGCTGTTCACCAGGCCTCTCTGAGGACCGCATTCCTGAATTTTCCCTTTGTTCAGGCCTGGGGCAGATTCCGGATGGGTCTGGGTGAGCTGTGCTTGCTAGGAACGGGGGAGCGGACGAGGCAGCCAAGATAAGGCAGGTGGGGGAGAAGGCCCTGGGGCTGACCTCAGGTCGGTGTCCGGGAAAAGAAGGGACGGGAGAGGGGTGTGTAGACTGATTTCCATAAACCACCTGAGGCTGACTTATGCCCCAGAAAGTCTCCTTGTAGCTCCAGGTTGAGTGTACCCCAAGGATGCATACCCGCCGGGACACTGGACCTCCATTAATCTCTCCCTGGGACCTGTGTATTCCTAGGGATTCGTGTGACACTTCGACCTCTAGGGGACGTGTGTACCCCCATGCATTCCCCTCGGGGATTTTTATGGCTGGGGGGAGGAGTACCCTGGCATCTCCCATCAGGGATGCTTTTACCAGATTACTTGATTCAGTTCCCTGTGGGTAGGGCCTTGTCATCCTTCCGTGGCTTCCAAATACCCCCGAACAAATTGGCCATTCCTCTCTCGCAAGCCTTACAGTTTAAGGGGCCAAACTGGCTTGTATTCGTCTCTTATCAAGTCATACCTCCTAAATGAGATGATAAATGACGGTCACTCCTCTGTCATTTCTGCTGCCCCGGCGATGTGTGTGTCCTCACCTGTTGTGACGCCGCCCTCGCCGAAGGTCATTTCAGTTCCTCTTTGTGACTTGGAACAGTTATGGACATAAATGCCACTTCCCTCTCCCAGTTTGTTCGGCCTGGGGAGCAAGGACAGCCCAGGCTCTTGCTTTTCTGGGACAGGGCGTCGGTTGTGATGAATACACAGACCAGTAGCGCGAGAACACTGAGCGCCGCGAAGAATGTTTGAAAGCGCAAGAGGGGAGAGAAGCGCTCAGAGCGGGTCACATTTGGGTTGAGATCAGAAGGAACCGGTGAAAGGAATCTGCCACCGAATAGCAAGTAAGCGGAATGTTCTGGACTGTTACGGCTTTTTATGGGTGCCATTTACGCCCTTGGAATACGAAGAACATGTGCCTGAATAATGGGCTCGTCCCCAAGGGAAATGCTTCTTGTCTTTGCTTCTAGGAACTGGTGTGTGTCTAGTACATTGCGGGCCAGTCTGGCCTGGTGTCAGTGTGCCTAGAGCCCCAGTAGTCCAGAGCATACTGTGATGAACAGCGGGGGGCATGAAAACAACAGCAGAAGGAGCAAGATGCTTTTGTGTGTGAGTTAGCTGGCTCTCCTGCCTCAGTTCTCAAAGTTTGGGTGCCTGGCCTGCTTGGCGTTCCCCCATATAAACAAAAGGCCGAAAACCCTAATTGGGCTCAGAGGCAGGAGTGGGGGTGGTGAGGCTGGGCTGGGAAGGGCTTAATGGCTTCCCGCTGGTCTTCTGGGAAGCGGGCAGCAGAGAGGCAGAGCTGGATGGGTGATGAGGTCCTGGGTAATTGAGAGTTGTTAGTCCTCCCGCAGGCCTGTTCTCTTGGCAGCCTGCCCTCCTGATCTCTGTGCTATTTGTGCAGTTTGTGAGCCGGGGCGGGTCCTGGGCCCCTGTGGGATGACACTCACATTTGCCTACCACGGAACCATCAGGAAGAGGGTGGGTGCTCAGAGACTGACGGGCGCTGTCAGGTGCAGCAGGGTTTCATTTTCCTTTTTGTTAGAAAGTTGACGGTGAGCTTAGGAGCCTGGGTGGTGGTGAGGCCCCTGTAAGGGAGGGTATGAAGATTCAGGGAGGTTAGAGATTCTGGGAGCCTGCAGGCGCTGGCCTCTGCCCGCCCCTCCAGATTGTCAGAACTTGTGGTTGTGACAGGGCATGGAGGGACATGCTGGGGTGAACGTCCTGTCATCTTCAGGCGAGATCATTTTAGGAAATGCATTGCCCTGGGGTTTGGAGGAACCGATGCAGGAAGTGCCCGTGGCTGAATTCACGGCATGATTCAGGCTGATGGGCTCCGGAAGGGAACCACTTCGGGTCATGTGGTGGCCCGCTTTAGAAAACAGAACTGTGACTAACTGCAGACATCGGAAAGGGTGGGAAGAACGCTTGACAAACCCCATGGCTCCCCATAGAAGGCCTGGAGACTTTCAGGAGCAACTGATTAAAAGCTGGTTTGGACAGACTCCCCTCTCCAGGTCCCCCTCATGACCTCGGATGGAAGGCCCCAGAGGTCCAGCAGGCCCGGAGGTGGGGCCAGGGGGCACTCCAGGGGCTGCAGCTGCCCTGTGAAGTCCCTAGAGGGGTGCAGCCAGCTCCGGGGCCAGGATGGCCCTGGATGCCTCCCGATCTCCTGCGCTGAGGACCTGCCCTCATCCCAGACACCAGTGACCGGAGCCCAGCCTGGAGGCTCTGTCCCTCCTTCTCTCCAAGGAAAGAAAGCATTTAGGAAGTTCCCCTTCTCTGACAGTTTTTTTGTTTGTTTCTGTAAATGTCCTTTTTATTTCTTTAAAGATTTATTTATCTATTTGAGAGAGAGATCACGAGTAGGGAGGAGGGCTAGAGGGAGAAGCAGGCTCCCCACGGAGCAGGGAGCCCGACGCGGGGCTCGATCCCAGGACCCTGGGACCATGACCTGAGCCGAAGGCAGGCACTTCACCGACTGAGCCGCCCAGGCGCCCCTGTAAATGTCCTTTTTCCTAGCGGTCTCAGGCTCCCGTTCTCTGATGACGTACGGACCTGCAGCATCTTTTCGTGCGTGTATGTGCCGTCTGTATGTCGTCCTCTTTGGTGAGGTGTCTGTTCAGATCTTTGGTGCATTTTTAATCCAAGTTGTTTGATTTCTTAGTGTTGGATTTTAAGAGTTTAGATGCAGATCCTTTCTCAGATTAGCCTTGCTCCCAGTCTGTGGCTCGTCTTCTGCTCCTGTCCCCAGTGGTCTTCCAAGCGTTGGATGCGGAAGCATCGATCAATGAGCACGGTATCGTGAGCCCTCCCTTGGGATCTAAATCTCAAGGGATCATGAGGCGGCTGTGACCTTGAACTGAAGGTTGAAAGTGTTACATTTTTTCAATAACGTGCAGGAGAGAATATTGTCTACACCACCCCCGTTAACGCCTGTGATCACCTTGACCTTCACAGATCGATCAGCTGTGTCGACGCTGCGTAGACCCCAGCACAACCCACTTAAACACTACTCTATAATAATAGGACCTAATAGGATAGGACCTGGACAGAGATGCTCTGTAGTTTAGGTCTGCGACGGAGAAATTCCTACCTAGCTGCAAAGTCTATGCAGGGTAGAATTTCCCCCTCGTTTTATAGTTGAGAGAACACAACCTTACTCAGTAGCCACTTCACAGGTTTAAACCGGTGGTTCTCAACTGGGGGTGATTCTGCCCCCAGGGGACATGGGTGGTGTCTGGGGGCACATTGTGCAGTCACGACTGGAGGTGGGGGTGCTCCTGGCATCTATGGATGGGGGCCAGGAATGCTGTAAATATCCCCTAATACACAGCCCAGTAAGAGTGCCGAGGTGGACAGCCCGACTGTTTCCTTCCTGGGCTGTCTCAAGAACTCCAAGGGAAGGCCAAGGAGCCCCGAGTGGTGGGAAAGCTACTCTGGGCCCTCAGCCCTGCTGTGAACCTCCCTAGCCCGGGGCTCAGCATCTGGGGCTCTCTGTTCAGTTCCTTGAGGGGGCGAATCCACGAGGCCTACCTGGGCCCAGGCACCAGTCACAGCCTCCTGGTGTAGAGGGCCCGGAGGGGGGCAGATTCCCAGAGTGGGGAATCTGGGTGAGAGCTGCTACCTAGAAGAAACGAATTTTTGACTTTACCATGATAGCTCTGAGGAAATGTAGCCAGAAAACCCGAAAGGGGGAGGTGGAGGACAGCAGAGGGAGGAGGTGCCCCTGATCTGGGGCCTAAGGACACAGGTAATGGAGTCCTTACCTGCGCTCCCTGGCAGGCTGGGAGCTGGTGGTGGGCAGGGATGACCCCAGGCTCATCCTCAGAGCTGGTGACCGTGACCTGTGGGGGACACACAACCTGGCCATGGTTCTGGGTTCCAGCTGGAGGAAGGGGGCCTGGTTGCATGTAAAGGATGGCTGGGAATGAGCCAGAGGACGGGGTGGAGTATGGGGCTTCCCACCAGGGGTGCTGTAGGAGACCCCC